AGCTATCAGGTGGGTCAACGGAAGTTTTAGCTGTACGGTGTACCTATTGCGCAGCGTAGCCGTAAATCTCGCACACACGCACCAAATCACAACATTATGCTTCGATTCGATGATTTTTGTTCCATGTTCTGTAATCTTTTTTCTACTGGAATACTGAACTGAAGAACGTTAATTAATGGTTAAATACTTTTATCGTTTCTTCTTTCATTTGTTTCTTCACTTCACTCTTCTTTCTTCAGTTCCTTCCTTCCATCCTTAACTCATAAGCTTCTTTTCCTCATTTTATAGCTTCTTTATGTCCTCAACCCATTAATTCTACAGTTCATTTCGTATCTTCTAGTATCAGTTTGTTCTTCCCTTCTTTTAGAACTCCTTTCCAGTAGTGTTTTACTGTTAGTCGTTCGATCTGTTCAACGAACATCATTATTCTTTTCCTCTGTAGGATTGCACATGAGATTGATATTCAGTTATGTTACCTCTGAAGTAGCGAATTGTATTTTGTGGCTTTTACTAATGCTGTCTTTCAGGGGATTCCGTATTAAACAACTGACTTTCTAGGCATGAAATTTGTGTGTCAGTCAAAACCCATATTTCTTAGTTCAGCTTCGTTCAGAATCTGTTGGACATTGCTGCATAGATGACTCATCAAAGATCTTAGTCTTTCCTTTGATTTCAGATCTTCAGATGGTCAACATTTCGCTTCGGGTTTTGTCTAGACCTGATGCTATGCAGCTTCCTCGAATTTACCGAACGCTAGGGCTGGACTGGGGAGAGCGTGTGCTACCCTCAATTTGTAACGAGGTAAGAAATACGACATTCGCAAGCAAACTTCTTTACCATCAGTTACTATCAGGTACTCAAAAGCGTGGTCGCCAAATTTAATGCTTCACAGCTGATTACACAACGACAGCAGGTCTCGTTGTTGATCCGAAAGCAGTTGGTGGAACGCGCCAAAGACTTCAACATCATTCTGGACGACGTGTCCATTACGGAGTTGTCATTCGGTCGTGAATATGCTAGTGCCGTCGAAGCAAAACAGGTTGCCGCCCAAGAGGCCCAGCGGGCTGCCTTCTTCGTCGAAAAGGCAAAACAGGAACGGCAGCAGAAAATCGTGCAGGCTGAGGGCGAGGCTCAAGCAGCAAAGCTGGTAGATTTTTCTCGTTTATATTTCAGGTGTTCGAAGGACTTGAACGCGTGAATGATTTCACATTGTTTTTTGATTCACTGACGCATCTTTATGAGAATGAGATTCATGATGAAAAACTTTTTAGCTATCAAATCACGACTTTTTGCATTTATGTGATACTGCAGTAGTGCTTGCCATTAATCTTATAAACATGCAGATTAATATGTGCGATTACGTCATGAGCTTTTAAGCAGTTACGTGCATATCTGAAGAGCGCGCCTGAAAGGCATGGCAAAGATATTAGTGGGGAGAAGTCAAGATTTTTAACCATCTAGTAACTGTTCATGCCATAGGAATCAGACAAGACGTAGAACTGCGAATCTTGTCACTGACATTTAGAGCAGTGAACGGTTGTAAACATTTTGTTAGTATTGCTTATAGGTGCTAAAAGAGCGTTTAGTATCGTGGTATGATATTTATTTATGCAAACAACGTTCGACTGAAATTTGCCGTTTCATTTATTTGACCAATTGGTTAAATGTAAGCTGCTTATTTCAACTTGCAATTTTGGTTTAGTAGCGTACCACAGCAGATGTTGACCAAGAAGCTATAGCGTCTCAAGCGCTGGCACCGGTAATATGCTAACTTTAGCTATTTGTGTGCTTCCACTTGAGGACTTTTATTTGCGGTAGCATGTTGGCACTTTGTGCTGTGATCCTTACGATCTTACCTCAGAAATGGTATGTCATTCTTAAGTTTCTGTCATAGCATTTGATGAACGAATCTCAGCATTTCTTAGTTTTGTTGTGGTTAACGAAAGTACAAATTTATTCCTTTGAGTCCTGAGCAGAAGTGACTTCATAGACGTAGTATGCTAAATCATTTTTGGATATGGTGACCTTTCAGTATTAGAATGTTCTCTTCTGCGCTTTGACGGGACAGCTTCTTTGAAAAGTGTCTTCCAGTCATTGAGCAGTTTAGCATCGTCGTCAACAGGTCACTTTCGTTGACGTAACGGTCCTGAACTCAGCCAAGCTTCACTGTTGGTTACGGACACTAAGTGTTATCACCGCATGTAAAGCATCTGTTTGAATGAATAACTTTATTTAAGTCGTAATTCAAACTGCCCTTTCACTTTTGAACAGACTTGCTATATATGACTTAAATTCATGGTTAAAATCTGTTACGGACTAACAGATCTGGCGGAACTGTGCATGAACATATCGCAAACGAGACCTTGTTTAGGGTCTGACTTGCTATCACATCGAACAAATGGCGATTCAGGGGTAAACGGCAATAAAAACTGTGGCAGAAGTTCAATTCTCTGCTTCATGTGATAAATCCTGTCTCTGAATCGCTAATGACTTGTGAAGCTATCAGTTTCGCCCTACCTGTTAGGCCTTTTTTGACTATGCCTTTTGCTGATTACTGTCAATTATCATGTGTGTTGGGGCGAATTCCAGTCGTAGGGCGCACCTCTCAGACAACGTGGTTGTACCTTCGCACGTTCTGACCCGCCTACACCATAATGGTATATCTTGCAGTCCATCTTGTTAACAGGTCAACGACTTGCTATCCAGTTTTCAGCTGGTCGCGAGGTGCGCTTATTTCCTTGATCAATCTTATCAGTAGATGACAAAGAAAATTTTGCCCGTAGTGGGAAATTTGCAAAGTAAAATACTTGTCAACTGCGTGAATATCCTTACCTATGAAGCTGTTGTACTTTCTGAGCATAAACTGTTATATATTTTTTCCATTAACTTATATTGTGTTGATCTTAATAAGTACTTATCAAGCCTTGTTATATTCTTTCACAGCCGACAAAGTTTGCAGCTTGATCATTTGTGTGTTCTCTGTTTAGATCGGAGAGGCGGTGAACCGAGATCCCGGTTTCTTGAAGCTGCGTAAAATGCGTGCAGCCCAGTTGATCGCTCATACTGTAGGTCACATGAAACAAGTAATAATGCTGATATGTCATGTTTCAGCTGGCACAATCCCAAAACAAGATGTACCTCGACGGTGGAAGTTTAATGTTAAACATTGCCGGGGAGCACTATTTTGACGACGCAGACAGAATGTCGAAAGCTAAGAAGTAGCCTTGGTAGCAGCCTGAAATACAGTCAGTTTTTCCAATCTGTTTAATTCGCATTATGTGGAATTTTTGTTAGTTAGTAAAGAAATTTTGTCATGCCTTTTCAGCTGGGTTGTATAGCGCAGAATTGTTTAATTCGGTGTCTTTGCTTTCTCGTGTTCAGCTGTAAATAACGAAATGCTACTGATGCTCTCATTTTCTCAGCTATGCACCAGTTAATGCTGGACAAGATCGTGACAGCCAGCAGTGTAGGTTAATTACAGATGCTCTTGCAGTGACACAGACCTAATCTGCAAAGTGATAGCATCAATGGCTATTTGTTGGCATTAAATGACTATGACAACTGGCAACTGTGCTTGCCGGCAAGAATGAAAAAATTGTATTAAAAATTGATGAATAATTATTAGAGACATTGTACCAGAGAATGTTCTAAAAAATTCGAATAGACACTGCTTGTTACTCTTAAATATCATATTGCTCATTTAAATTAACTTTATTTAATTGTTAATTTAGCGTTTTTTAATTTTGTTTAATAGCAGAATTTAGTATTAGCAATTTTTTACTGTCTCCATAATTCATCAGGGAACTCACTTCGTAGGAATGTTACTATAAAGCGCTTCGTTTCGTGTTATTTCGACTTCTCCCTGCACTCCTGCCTGTTGTCATCTTGTTTGTTAAGCTGCGGATCTTTTTCGGAAGCTTCATACAGAAGTAAACATGCACTTACGCCTCTAACGGACTCGTCGATCCATGGTTCAGAGCAATAAACGATCTGTGTTGCCTACACGTTTCGTTATCATATAGTTAGCGTCATTCAGAATATAACTGATGAGACCAGCAACACACTGTCTCAAGCAAAAAGACAGCAGGTTGTAGATGTTCCAATGACTCAACTGATATTGCCAAGTGGAAAATGTACTCGGACACCTGCTAGTAGGAAAGGTGCTGGTGGTGACGCAGTTTGACTCTATCGTACGGATAGCTTAAGAATTGGCGATCCGTCGTTGAAGAGAAATTGAATATGATTTGGAGCAGGAAGATTTAGCTTACGAATTTGTCGTGTAAACTGTTTGTGTATTCATAATGTAAAATAAAGTCTTACTGCCAGGCAGGGATGCGTCTGATTCCTAAATGCAGACCATGCTTCAAGTGGCTAGCGAGATTGACCCTACTGCATCATACCTGATGGGCTGCCAGGTAGATCGATAGATAACGCAGTGTTGCAGACTTGGACCGCTCACCACGTCATTCCGGATATTCGTTTCACATCTGTGATAGCGCCTCAGCTTTCGTTTATACCGATAGTACACTATGTTCTGTATTTTTCCTTACTGAGTATGCAGAGTGAACATTCGTGCTTACGGTAATGACGGTTATAGTAGTATATCAATATTGTAACTGCTTTTTTCGATACCTCATTATTCCACCTTCAGTAGGAGAAATAGTTTATTCGAAAACATTTCAAGTACTTTCGGGACAGATATAGATCATTTTGCATGAATTACAGAAATTAATTACCCCTTTCACAACTCCAAAAAAATTGCATTGTCGGAGAAACGGTTTTATAAAGTGCACTCTCAAAGCAAGGCGGATAGTCGGCCATGGCTGGATGGGTGTCGTAAAAAATGGTCCGCCCTGACCAACGCAAATAGCGGCATCACATTTGACTGGCAGAAATTATGGTGAAATATGCATCCTCTTGTACACCGTATGCTATAGGGTAAAAGATTCTGTTATACTGTGGGATCTAAGCCCTAGGTTTCCGGTGCAATGCCTGGATTAGAAAGGAGGAGGGACTTCACCTCACTCACTTTTGGGCTTACCCTTAAATTCTAGCCATCTGCGCCTTATGGTATTGCTGATTTCGAAAGTTATGTCGCCTTGATCTTCGTCCGGGTTGTCATGGTTGCCGAGGCTTCCGAGTAGACAGTGAGAATTGGAAAGACGTGATTGGTAAGAACGGACCTAGTGACCTCAACATCAACGGCAAGAATTTGCTGTGGTTTTGTGCAAACAGCGGACTCTCC